AAAAACACCATTGTTCAACTAAATTCAAACAAAACATAACTTGAAATAAACACAACTCGCACACTCATGCATTATTTCGACGATTTGCCCTTTGTTTCCTTGTGCGATGGGCGACTGGTCCACCGGGTGTAGCTGATGGTGGAACGGGTGGCAGATTCCTATTCGCCGTAGAAGGGCGATCCTCCGTGCTATGGCGCCTCGGTTCCGTGATAGTTGGCCCCTCCGTCTGCGGTCGAGGGCTATCCATGCTCATATGGGGAGTGTATTGCCATTGTTGTTGCCATTGGTGTTGTGGTCGACTCCAAGGTGAGAAGTCTTGGTGAGGACTGGATTGCCATTGTTGTTGCCATTGTTGTTGTGGTCGCTGCATGGGTGCATAGTCTTGGTGGGGACTTGAGTATGAACCCTCGGCCCAAGTTGCTGAGGATGTGCCATCATGAAATGTACTTGGCCGTTGTTCATACAGAAAGCTGGGGCGGAGATTGTATTGGAAGCTTGACCGCGGATCATACTGGCTTCCGGGCGTGGGATCGTAGTGAGTACTCCCCCCTTCACCGCTACACACCTCCAAAGGAGTAGGCGCCTTCCACGCCGCAATCGGCTTGATCTCTGGCACGTGAGGTCGATCCCTTGTAGCTTTGTTTGGCCTTCTATGGACCGGCGGAGGCACCGGCTCAACATCCTGCACAACCGGCGGCGGTCTCACTGGGGGAACTGGAGGGTATCTATGATGGTCACGCCCGCGCGCTCGCATACAGCCAAGGAGATTGTTCGCTATCCTCCGAATGAGCCCCACCTCTCGACCCGCCGCCAAATGATCTGCCGTCCGCGCGAGGTCTTGGATTCGCTCGATGCCATCAACCTAATTCGAAGAAAATAACAAAGTTAGCCATTTAAAAAATAATGCACCGCATGACTAAAAAAATAAAAAATAATAATTACTTACCAAAGCTCCGTCCGCCGCTCCTTCGGGGGTCATGTAACGAACAGATTGTCGACGGTAGGTTTCCAGGTATGGGTCATGGTAGCCCATCCGCCCCACATGAGATGCCGTCACAATATCCTGATCTTGCCTAACATTCCACAGGCGGATCAAGTTTCCATACTCCTCCGGCCAATTAGTAGGTCCATGTCGACCATCTTTCCCGTGGTACCCCTTCTGACTCTCCGGGACATCCAATGGTATGCATTGCTCACGTCCAAATTGTCGTAGACATCGATCCGGCAAGTGCCACTCCACTATATGGTGGCAGATTAGTGGAACTCTGGTGCACCATTGACCGGGATGTAACGGGAATTTGTGAACGTGATGCGCAACAATCCGTTCTGGATACGGATCGAACTTGAGCTACAAAGGTTTATAAAAAAAAACCATTAATCAACATAATAATATACCATAAAAAAGTAGGTTTTAATAGCGTATTATGATGCTCACCTCTGCTTCCCAAAGGCGATCAAGCCTCCTACGATACTCCTCCAACTTATGCGCTCCTAGGTTGTCGCATGTTTTTTCACCAAGCCACCTATTCAATCCAAATAGTATGGAGTGTTAATACATAATACCCAATTCGTTATAAAATATCCAATTAGTAAAAAATTGGATAGAAAATATTTACCTACAACCATAAGCTTCATGTCGTAGGGGATGGTCGGAACCCCATTCCCTGTCGGGTTCAACCTTCGGCGCAATCCATGGCAAATGCTCCTAAGCCCAAAATTGGACGATGAACATGGCCCCATCAATCTCCTTCACCGCTCTCGCACTAGCATTACATAGGGATCGGTAGAGATGAGCTAAGCAAGCAGATGCCCAACTCAGGTTTCCCATGTCATCCCAATCACCAAGTATGATCTTCAACCATGAATTGCTGATTAGGTTGTTGGATTTCTTGGGGAAGAAGACTCCTCCGATCATGCCGAGGATTTAGATACGTGCATAAATTTCTTTATCACGCTCCGAACTTTCCTCCGTGAGGGGAATGCCTCCGAACTCAGGGTTGTGCTTACGCCTGATCTCCGCTGTCAACCACGTGATGGATACTTGGCCCTTGGACAATGGTGGATGACCATCCGCATCGTGATCTCCCTTCTCTGGAGGACACAACCCGGTGACCGTCCATATAAAATGTTGCCAACCACTCATATTGGCAACAACTTTAGGTGGTGGCGTAGAGTCCACACAAACAACATCACCATCGATGGGGAGATCGGTTAGGATGGCGATGTCCTTAAGTGTGATGGTGCACTCGCCCTCACAAAAATTGAAGCAGTGTGTCTCCTTTCGCCATCTCTCTACCATCGCCGTGATGAGTTGGCGGTCGATCTTGATCCCATTGAAATGACGAATCGAATCCAATCTTGCCCTTTTTAGAAAGGGCAAGATGACGTCGTTCCATTCAAGCACATTCGTTGTGCCCCTATAGCTGACTATATGGTATGCATCCTAGAAAAGAATTTAAATTTCATTATAAGTTGATGATTTATACATATATAAATATATTATAAGATACAATTTATATATAAATCGAGGTTTTTTTTTAGAGAAATATACATTATCTAATAAACATTTATTTTAACATAACTAAAATAATTTTCTAAAATGCAATATTAATTAAATCAAGGTTCATTTAGAGAAATACATTATATAATAAACATTAATATTAGCATAAATAAATAATATTAAAAGATGCAATATTAATTAAAGCAAGGTTGTTTTAGAGAAATATACATTATCTAATAAATATTAATATTAACATAACTAAAGTAATATTCGAAATTTAAGTATAAATATTTTTTGTACACATACACATAAAATCAAATATATTATTTTGTTAATCGTATTAATTATTTTCAATAATTTAAAGCAATACAAGTACACTCGTAAGACTCTTAGGAGAGGTATACATCTCCTTAGAAACATAGTCTTTTTGACAGAAAAAGGGGGGATCCGAGGATCGTTTAAAACCCGATTTTCCCAAGTCATGGGGGGGATCATGATGATCGCTTAAGTCCCCATTTCCTTAGACATGCATTTCTTTATAAAGAGTCTCAATAAGTGTTGTGTTGTATTGTATTGATTTAAATTATTGAAAATAATCAATACGATTAACAATTAAGTAAATTATTGTACAACAAATAAATTACTTTAACAAAATACAAATTACAAGTGATGATAAATAATATGTACCTTGTGGTCGTTCCAAACGTCTCTTGAACGATGATTTGCTTGATCGTATAAAACTGCCGGACCAATCGGTCCTTGATCAACATAATATCGTTGATTGAAAATATCAACATCCGGCCCAACCTACGATAGCATAACAATAACATAAATCATTAGTATATAAATTAAATAAATCATTATAACAACAACAACAATTGGGAAAAATGAGTACGTACCATTTGATAATCATCATAAAAAAGACCCTCTTCTTGAGCGAAATCGGCCATTCTCTCGGAATCCGGACGGAGGTTCGACGGTTTTTTAGTGAAAACCAAAGAAAAAGTTTTTTGGAGGCAGATCGGACTTAGCCGCAACCAACAAAAAAACTAATTCTAAGGTTGGGTGGGGAGGGGTTGGGTAGAGAGAAGTTAGAGGGAGAGAGGGGAGTGTGGTGGATGGTGTGCAGAAAACTAAAGGGGAGGGGGGTTTATATAGCCTTCAAACCGCGTGGGGGAGGGTCGGTGCAGTAATTTCTTGCCACCAAAAACCGCGCCTCCAGCACGCGGTTTGCTTTTCCCGACGGTCAAACCGCGCCTCGGGGGAGCGGTTTTCGTTTCCCAACGGTCAAACCGCGCCTCGGGGAAGCGGTTTTTGTGGTCGACGCGGATCGCAGAGTTGGCACGCATTTTAGCCGTCAGATCGCTCCTCTGATTGGCGGTTTGATGCACCGCCACGTGGCAACACGGTTTGACAGCCATGCAAGGTCAAACCGCGCCTTGGGGGCGCGTTTTGCTCTATAACCGCCGCCTGGAGACGCGGTTTCATTAAAAACCGCTCATTAAATGCGCGGTTTTATATAAATGATGGTATTTTTGGAAATTATTTGGTCTGGGTGGTATTTTTGTAAAAAAAAATTTTAACGGTGGTAGTTTTGGATTTTTTCCTTAAAGAGGGCGAGAAGGGAAGGAGAAGAGTACCTGTTTCCAAGAGAGCTCCCAAAACAAAAGCTGGTTACCTCTCAAAAAACCTTCTGGACTCCCCTGTAAACAACACCAAAAACCCAGCTGGTCCCTCTCGGGCCTCCCCTTCAAACACCAAAAACATAAAAGCCCAAGTAAAACCCCCTTCAATCACCATGGAAATCAGTAATAGCAAAGCCCCAAGTAGAGCTAAAGAAGAGAATAGAACTACCTTGTCATTCTCAAGAAACAGAAGCGAGTGCCCAATCCTCTCATCCACCGAAGGCAGAGGCATATCAATGATGTTGGGGAAGATGCTCACCGAGAACAGAGTTGTCCTGGCTAAGGCGGCAGGGGCGGCACGCTACGCTTGGGGAGGATATGGAGAGGTGAACGTACAACCATCGGAGACTCAGAACCTCTTCATATTCACCCTCAACAATGAGGCAATCAGGGAGAAGATATGGAGGGACAAACCATAGAGCCTATCAAATACTCTAACTGCTATCAAAAAGTACAACGGAAGAGGGAAACCAGAAGAAGTTCCCATAGAGAAGGTAGCCATGTGGGTGCAGATTCATGGTATACACCAAAACCAGAGGAGCGAGCAGAACATGGTGGCGATAGGAACTCATTACTTCCTAGGGATGCTCGATCTGGACAGAGCAAGCTTGGAATTCACGGGATACAGGAAGTTTCTGAGGATTCTTGTGGAGGTCGACATTGAAGAACCAGTTCCGACCGGATTCGACTTCCCATTCACAGACGAAACCACGGGAGAGGAGCACTGCGATGTGATCGAATTCAAGTATGAGAGGTTGGTGGAATTGTGCTATTTCTGTGGAAAAGTAGGCCACAACTGGCCGACTTGCTGGAGGATGAACGAGGAAAGGAAGAGGAATGGAGTCGCATACCTGTCGGAGGTCTACAATTCGTCTCTCAAGGCGGGAATCGATTTACCTCACATGCACCAATCGGGCAATTGCAGAAGCAGCAGGGAGGGGGAAGGCTCACAAAGCTATTCGACAGGAAGAGAGAGAGCGAGTTCGGGAAGCCAAAGTAGATTGGAAGGGGTAGAGGGAAGAGCTTCACCGGGTTCGGAAGGTAGGATCTCTGAAGGAAATTTAAAAATCCCTCTGAGATTTACTGTGAGAAGGCTGGAGCAGGAAGTTCAATGTGAGGAGGAGCAAGTCTCGCAGGGGAGATGGAGAGGAAGGTACAGAGACGAGATGAGGGCGACAAACCTGAATGTGGAGATGGATAGGGCGGCGACGGCGATGGAAGTAGGGCTTTGATTGGAAGAGGTGAGAACCGCTCAAGAATTTGGGCGGATTCTAGTGGCAGTGGAGACCACTTTGTCTCTTGGGCCAACCCAACCAAACATTCCAGCCCACCTTCCAATCCAAGCAGGCCTAAATGATATAGCTGAGTATCAGCATATCCAATTGGAAGGAAGGGAAGGAGAGATGGTCCGGAAACAGAAGAAAAGGAAAGGAATGGGTCTGTTGTGTGGAGTCAGGCCTAGTGCAAATTTTAGGGAGGAAGAAGCTGTTTTTGATGGGCCAGCGGGAGTTTTGGAAATGGGTGGGCCGGGGGATGTCTCCAGAAGGAAGAATTTGAAGTTTAAGTCTGTGAACAATAATACCCCTAAAGGGAATCAGTCAGAAAGCGAGTAGGAGGGCCGAGGAAAGAAGAAAAAGGCAGCATTGGTTCGCTAGAAGCCACCTCTTCAAGAATGAGTATGGTAAGTTGGAATTGTAGGGGTTTTGGCCCAACCCTTACAAGAAGTTATGCGAAACGTCTGTGTAGAAGTTTAGGCCCTTCAATTGTTTTCCTCATGGAAATGAGCTAAAATGAGGCATTCATGGAGGAGCACATAAGAAGTCTCAAAATTTTCCCCAATAAAGAGTATGTGGAACCGGTTAACTCTTCTAGGGGTTTTGCGCTATGGTGGAAAGCGAGTATTAGCATTAATATTTTAAGTAGTGATAGCTATTATATGGGCTATAGTATCGATATGGGTAGGAAGTTCTTTTGTACTTTTGTTCATGCACCCTCTATCGCTGTTAGTAGAAGGGAATTTTGGGAGCACCTAAGCTCTCTTCAGAGTAGTAGGGAGGATAACTCGGTTATTGTAGGAGACTTCAATGCTGCTATTTATGAAAGTGAGAAGGAGGGGAGATTCCCTCTTAGGTACGAGAATGTTGAACCTTTTAAAAGGTTCATTTTCGACAATGCTCTTATTGATCTAGGGTTTAAAGGAGAACCCTTCACTTGGACCAATAAGCGTATCGGTGAAAATACAACGAGAGTCTGACTTGATTGAGTGTTGTGCTCGACTTCATGGAGAGTCCTCTTTGGGGATGCAACTGTTTTCCATGAAAAGATGGTTGAGTCAGATCATTGCCCAATCAGGCTTGAGCTCTGTTATAGAGGGAATAGGAGGAGAAAGACACCCTTCAGAGTAGATGAAAGATGGCTGGATAAGGAGGAATGCAAGGAGATAGTGGTCCGAGTTTGGGACCCAGGAGGGCAATCATCGAACCAGCTGGCCAAGTGCGAACAAGATCTTAAAGAGTGGTCTAAAGACCTTCATAGGAACAGTTTACAAAGGGAGAAGGATATACTGGATCGACTTTATATTCTCCAACGTCCTCCAAGAACCCAGGAAAGGGTGGAGGAAGAAAAAAGTCTCATCGAAGAACTGTCAAAGATGTGGAGGGAGGAGGAGGTGTTTTGGAATCAGTGCTCAAGAGTAATCTGGCTGCAGAAAGGTGATCAGAATAACTCCTTTTTCCATTCTAGCATGATCCATAGAAAGCATAAGAATAGAATTCTTAGACTCAAGGATGAGAGAGGAGATTGGGTAGAGGATGAAGATAGGCTTAAAGGTTTGGCCCAGGATTTCCACAAAGACCTCTTTAGAGCTAGAGACCATATTCCCTTTACCCACCTTCTGGATGGCTTCCCAGAAAAGGTTACAGATGAGATGAATGCTGCTCTTTGTGCCCCAGTGTCCAGAGAGGAAATTAGGAAAGCGGTATTCTCATTGGGAGCAAAAAAGGCTCCAGGTCCAGATGGTTTCTCGGGTAGGTTTTACCGAAGATTCTGGGATATTATTGGGGAATCGGTTTGTAGAGAGGTTAAGGATTTTTTTGAGACTGCAGCAATGCCGAATGGATGGAATGATACACATGTCGCCATGATTCCTAAAGTGGACCACCCAGAAGTGATAAGCCAGTTTCAACCTATCAGTTGCTGCAATTTTAGATATAAAATTATATCGAAGATTATGGCAACCCGTTTGTAGATCTGGACGCCTGATATGATCTCGGAGCTCCAAACAGCTTTCACCGGAGGCCGGCTTATCCAAGACAATGTCATTATTGTCCACGAGGCCCTCCATCATTTCAAAAACTTCAAGCGGGAAAGGAGAAGGGACATGATGCTCAAGTTGGACATGAAGAAGGCGTATGATATGGTGGACTGAGACTGTCTCGAAACTCTGCTGAAGAACTATGGGTTTGATGACAGATGGTGTAGATGGGTAAGCTCTTGCATCAGGACGGTCAACTTCTCCATCTTCTTCAATGGTGAAGCAGCAGAGGAGTTCAAACCGTCAAGGGGAATCAGATAGGGAGACCCACTCTCTCCCTTCCTTTTCATTTTGATGTCTAATGCTCTTACCTTTCTGATTGATAAAGCGGTTTCCCAGAACCAGTTAAAAGGAATAAGGTTGAACGCGAGATGCCCGATTCTCACACAATGTCTGTTTGCAGATGATACAGTGATCTTCGGAAAGGCTGATCATCAAGAAGCGGAGAAAATACTGGACCTTATAAGAGAGTATGGATCCATGACGGGACAAGAAGTGAATATCAACAAATCATCTGTGTTCTTCAGTGCAAATGTACCCGATGTGGACAAAGCTACGATGATTGGCCACATCAGGTTTGCCTCTTCTAACTGCCACACCAAGTACTTAGGAGTACCGACGGAATGGGGAATTCGAAGAAGGAAACTTTCCAATTCCTGATTCAGAGAATGGAGAAGATTGGTGAAGCATTGAAAATCCTCCTCCTTTCTCATGGATGGAAAGAAGTGTTGCTCAAAGCTGTCATTCAAGCTATGCCTTCCGGTGAACCTGACAAAGAAGATGGACTCCCTCCTCACCAACCTTTTCTGGTCAGGGTCAATGCAGAAAAGCACAATGCACTGGTGTAGGAAGGAAATTCTTTGTGCTCCAAAAGCAGAAGGGGGACTGGGTTTTCGAAGCTTCAAAAATTTTAATATGGCCTTATTAGCAAAACAAGCGTGGAGAATCCTTAATTCCCCTGATGCCTTGTGGTGTCGGCTCCTGAAGGGTTTGTACTTCCTGAGAGGAGGATTCCTGCAATCGAAAAAAGGAAGTAGATCCTCTTGGATTTGGGCGAGTCTGTGGGAAGCTAAAAAGGTTATAAACATGGGAGCAATTAGAGTCATCGGTTCAGGAGAGGATACTTGAATTGGTCAAGATCCATGGATTCCGAACCTTCAAAATTTTGTCATAGGAAGCGGCCCCCAGCAGAACCTGAGGGTAAAGGAATGGATTGACCCTGGTAGTAGGAACTAGAACACGGAGCTGCTTCAAGGTCATGTGACGAGAGAAGAAGTGGAGGCTATTCTTAAAGTCTCAATTGGGGAGGAGGGATCTGATGATTTCTAAGCTTGGAGTCTCATCCGAGAGAGAGAGTTCTCGGTCAAGACAGCCTACCACGCTGTACATAAATCCAATACAAATTTCCATTCGACAGGTAGTGAAGAGAAGTGGAAATGGATTTGGGGATTGAATATCCCACCTAAACTTAAATTCTTTATATGGAGATGTTCCAGAAACGGGTTGGCAACGAAAGCAAGACTCTTCCAACGCAAATGTGCTCCTAACCCGAATTGCCAAGTGTGTCATAACCCTATTGAGTCCCTTAACCGTTTCCTTTTCTACTGCCCTCATGCAGTGATGCTCGGACTAGCACTTTCCCATCCCTTCCGATTCCTCCTCAGGGCACCTCTTTCTTTGGTTGGTTCTGCTCCCTCAAAGATACCATCCCTCAAAACTGCCTTATTCATATTATCTACCTTTGTTGGAACATTTGGAAGGCAAGAAACGAGAGCACTTTCAAGAATCGAGTACCATGGCCCCCAAACGTGTGTCTGCTGTAACACCCTAACTCGGCCGGGTACTTAATTTTACCAAAATGCCCTTGATGACTCATAAACCAAAATAAGAAACGAAAGACTGGTAAAAAGAAATGGAAGCTTTCCATAAATAACCATAACAAATACTGAAGTGAACTTAAATCTCTTAAAACAAAGCCCTAACACTTGGGCAAACCTCAACCATAGAATCTTAATATGAATCTCCAGTCACCACTCATAATCGTAAATCAATAACTAAAACTCTACTTTGTTGTCTGCTCGGATTCGATCTCTGGCACCTCCAGTGACGCTTGTACTATCCTCCTCTAGCTGGCTCGCCTCGAACATCTTTCTCGATCTCGCTGCTCACTAACTACTCCTCTAGCTGCAACTATCGATCTAGTTCTCGCTTATTCCTTTACTAAGTCCTGGTGAGTGAGATGGGTTCAGTCTACGCCCTTACGTTTTAATACTTCTAATACTTGAGTACTTTACTTAAATGCTTAATTTTAACTAGTGGAAGTTGTTTGTACTTCCAATCTTAAAATCTTAACCCTTAAACTTTGAGGGAGTTGAAGTTACTCTCCTCTCTCTTAAAAATCAAATCTTGACTGACATGGGGATCCCTCGCTAGCTAGTCCGGTTGCCAACTCATACGTATGAGAAACCATCCAGGCTTTCCTTAAACTTAAACTTAGTTAGGGGAGTCGTAACGATTCATCCCCCTAACATCTTAAACTTATCGTGGTGGCTCTTCACCACGATTCTCAAGAGCATAACTGCTGCTCATCTTAAAAGTCTCAAGAGCATAACTGCTGCTCTGTCTCAAAGATCTCAAGAGCATAACTGCTGCTCTATCTGAAAATCTCAAATGGAAACGGACTGGCGCTAGTGACTAAAAACACTTAAAACGACTTCACCTTCTTGAAGGTGAGTTACTTCTTAAAAAGAACTTGTCTCTTAAACTTCAACAATAACTCATAACATAACCCTTTAAGGTAAAAAGCACAAAATCACCTCAAATCATAGCTCAAGCAAAGCACAAATAATCAATCATAAACATAATCGAGCAATGGTAACCAACTCATTAAAATACTTAAAATCATAATACTTAAAGAATACGTAAGGCATAGAATTTACCCCCTTTACACCTTACTTCCGTCGGAACTGGCTTGATTTTGCTCCAAAGTTTCCATACTCGCTTCCACATATTACACTCGTACTTGGTTGAATAAAATTGGAGCAGCGGCAAATGAAATTAAATGGACTGGCTTTAGTTTGGTCGTTATTGGCCGCCCTGAATCCGCCGGCCCTCAGGCTTGCTTCCCCTCGTCGACCGTCCATGCCACAGGGCAATAATCATGTGTTGCTTAAGCAAGCATCTCTCATAGGAGGGAGAATGATTATGTGCTTTTTTGCCGAAATTTGCCGACACCACTTGCTTGGTTAGCTGCCGCCTCATGCATGCCTGCTAAATAATGGTCGCCGCCTATCAATATCCTGCTGAATCGTCAACCTGCTTGCTTGAATAATGGTCCTGCTTGCTTATGGGTGATTACGGCGCGCCTTCCGAGGTCGCCCGCTTGCTTAAGCTAGCACCTCAGAGAGAGTATTTTAAATTTCCCTGGAGAGCATCGCCTCCTGCTTGCTTAAGCTAGCACCTCTCGTAGTAAAGAGAATGATCATGTCCTGTCTCCCAAACTTTGCTTTGATTTCCCGAGGGCAAAGCTGCTTTCGGTGGAGGCTGCGAGGGTTTTATGGTGAAGCCGAGTGGGGTTAGGTAAGGGTTCTAGGGTTTTAATTAGTCACAGGGTTATTTGTGGAAATTCACACTTGCGGGTGAGTTTAATCCGAAACTCAATTAATGTCCGTAACGTTCTCATTTTATGTCACACCGCTTGAACCGATAGTTCGCATTTTAAGTCCTCCTCGACATTACGTTGAAACTTGACCCAAGGGTATAATAGTCACTTTGACTTTTGGGAAGAGCGGGGTGTAACATCTGCATACCTATAGAGAGCTTACGTAATGGATTTCTTGCCCGAGGCCCCCACCTCAAGGTTCAGATGGTCCCGCTCAGCTTAGGGGATCCCATCCTACTACGAATCCACCGTCAAGTAATCACTCGATAGTGATTCACTGTGATGGGTCGTTCTTTAGCGACCCCCAGTCGGCGGCATATGGTGTTGTTGTCGTTAACCACCATGGACAAGTGTGTGATGGGAGAGCTGAAAATCTTCTTTGTTCCACCCCGATTGAAGCGAAAGCAAGTGCTCTTTTGGAAGGAATTAAATTAGCACAAAAATATGGATCGATGTGTACAATACAATCTGACTGTCAAATGTTGGTGCAGGCCCTGGATCATATTCAGTCTCGATGGCCTTGGAAATGTGCAGCCTGGATTAGAACAATGGTCAATATCCTTAGGAATAACCCAACAATTTCGGTGAAAGAGGTTCCGAGGACTTTGAACGTCAGAGCTGATTGGGTTGCACGATCAAAAGCTAAATCTATTCTACTAGAAGACTGGATTAATATTCTTGATCAAATTTATGTTCTCCTCTAAAATTGTAATAGCTTTTAGCGTGTATCTTTCTTACGGTGGAATAAAAGTTGATATTTGTTGGATGAGCATGAATAAACCAATGGGAGACATGGGCTCAAGAGACTCGGTTGGGCCTAAGCCCAATTGAGGGCATGAGTGACAAATCAGGAGTTGGGCCCAAACGCGGAGGAGCGGGCGCGTGACGACAAAGGAGACGCGGGGACCACACTGCTTCGGGACCAAGAGGCTGAGAGCGTGCCACCTGGAAGTGTGGTCCTGCCTGGGCGCCAGGGTCCGGGAGCTGCCACGTGTAGGTGCCCGACCGTTGGGCCGTACCAGGCATTTAATGACGCGCTGACGTGGAGCTGGATTCCAGGAGCCTGGTCGGAACCTCGACGAGTATAAATAGTACTCGGTAGGTAGCATTTAAGTAGGTTGGCTTCTCTCACTAAAAACTCTCGGATTACTTATCTCTCTAAAAGCAAACTCTGACTTAAGCGTCGGAGTGCTAACGGGTGGTTCCAAGCCCACTAGACGTTTGCCTGTGCAGGATCTATACGCCTGTCGGGAAGCACATTAATTAAAGACGAGAAGTCGGGTTCTGAAGTACCGTGGCTTCAACAATATTATTTGTAAAAAAAAAAAAAAAAGACTTGAGGTTCCCGCGGAGTTGCAGCCAACGCCCAGAATCAGTGGCTGCTTTGTTGCCTATTGCCTAATAAGTAATAAGTAATAACCATTCCCTCCACTGCGCAATGCCAATCAACTAACATCCAATTCTTCGTTTCGATAATAAAAATACATTTCGTCCCTTCGGGGACATCCGATAATAAAAATACATTTCTATTCGTGACCGCCACGTGTCCACTATCGGGATAGATGTAATGGAAAGCTAAAGCCTCCCCTTATAATAGAAGCTGCCGTTCAGCAGCTACCAAAAAGGAGGCGGAGAACAAAATAAGCAGAGAAAGAAAAACCGAAAATGGCGTCGCTCAGTGCTGTAGCGCGACTGCGGCTTCCTCCGCCTTCACATCATCACAAGATTCCTAGTCGGCGGCTGAGTCAGAATCGCCACCATCAGCAGCAGAAGGAGGTTTTCTATCCTCTCCTTGCCACATTCGATTCTCCCCAATCGGTCATCTTTCCCAGGTCTGATCCCTCTTCCACCGGTGCCTCTCTGTCATTGATAAATTGTTTCCTCTGTGTAACTATTCTCAGTTGATTATGGGTTCAGGTCCAAATGCGTCATGGGACTGCAGCGGAGGCGGCGAAATGGGTCCGCCGTCGTGTGGGCGTCTCCATCCTCCAACTCCGATCCGGCACCGACGACGAAGGATGTTAATGAAGAGAGTGGCGGGCAGGGTCCTCCATTGCTCACAATTCTTGCTGGGTTTTTGGTGTTCTTAGGGTTTTGTTGGGTTGTAGTTACTATTGGTACATGGTTGTTCAACCTCATTGCCTTTCCCCCTCCTCCGAAATAGGCATTAGCCGTCTTCTCAACTTTGTTGCAGCTCTCTGGTTTCTGCTTTTTTGTTGATGTCTAAAGTTAATGTTAAGGAAATGTAGCTACCATGCCATTCCATGGCTTTCTCCTTTCTAGTTGGATTTCATTCTTGTGCATTGGGTGCACCCCACAAGACATTTAACCTCAAGCCAAAATCTTTGGCGTCATAGTATAATAATAGTAAAAGAGTCTGAACTTTGACCATAATGAACGAGGAGGTTCTGAATCAGGTTCACTCTCTTGTAATTTCAATCCGACATTATAGTATATGATTCGAGTTCGACCCGTCTAAGCAATGATTGATACAGAATGAGTAGATGATTAGCAAGAAGGAAGCAGTTGTTGTACATTGGGAAGGAAGAATCAATTGGAATTCGAGTTGGGATGAGAGTTGGAACTTTCTTTAAGAGCATGATCATGGTCTTCTCCACCTCCTGCAGGTGACGACGAAGATCCCCCAGTGAAGTTCTTTCTCTCATCGGCGCTTGCTGTGATGACGGGCATCCATACATCTGCAGTGCCGCTCAACAACGACAGCACTTGTGGGTCGGAAGCCATTGCCGACGAGATCATCTCATCCACATTGTCCAACTTCTCTGATAACTTATCCAACTCCCTCGCTATTTCTAACTGCGCATATATCACGATGAATCAATGATGAATTACTACACCAACAGGTCATGATTATGATGAGCAAACAAGTAAAGCAATTCACAGACAATGGAGGAAAGAGTAAAACACATAAACTTACCTCATCAAGAGTTCTGGTGGACTTTGATGGGACTTTTGTAACCTCTAGTCCTAAAGCTTCAATCTTTGATCTCAATTCCACCTCTTCTTCATTGGTGAGTGCTTCAACCTACACCACCCACAAGAAGGATTCAGGTTAGAGCGGCATTTACAGGAATCCCCAACTTTCACAATGCTAGATGCACTCAGTCATCCTTCACGAAATCGGTTTAGATCGAGGGTAAGCCTAGCAATCAGTGATATGCTTCATTTGTTCCAAGTTTTTCCCTTTCCCAGGGATAAGCTAATGGGATAGTTAAATCATGAGAACTTCAGCATTAAGATATCAAGAAGCCAAAGGCTGAGTGAGTAACAGATTCCAGGTGAAAAGAAGATAAAAGAATGTTCAGGCCAAGGCATTCTCAATTAAGGAATAAGGAATCCCTTCTGTTCTCCTCCTCACCATAGGTTATAATCAATCAAACTACCAATTCAGATGCACTGCATCGATTCAACTCCTCAAGAACCCTACAGAATTTAGGACTGAATATGATAAGAAACGAACTAAGGAAATCCGAGAGATCCGGATGTTAGTAGACTTCGCAACTTTAGGAGCGGGGATTGTAATGACTCAACAGCAATTTGTTGCCAACCACCGCCGGCGAACAAGATCGAGCAATCGTTAAAAGGAACATATAGAAAAGCTTACTTGCTGAAGAAGACCGGAGAGGAGCTGGAAGAGCTGTGCATCGGCTTTACCACCTCCGTCCGCCATTCCAATTCCCCCTTCTGGTGAATTGCACCCCCTTTTGGTGAAGATCCTTCTCCCAGTTTTTTACTCTCCGTCGTGTACACTTCTTCGATATTGGTTTTCCTTTTTTGTTTTTTCCGCTTTTTCATCTGTCGTTTATTTCTTTCAGGGCTTGCTTTGTAATTTTAGTTCGGAGAGGAAGCGGGCTGGATGGGCCAAAAGCCCGAAACCTTTTGACATACACTTCCGGCTTTGCCTCGGAAGGAGATGGAAATAATGGAATGGGTTACTGCAACTGATTGCTTTCCGTTGGCAGACATCTTCACAGCTTTCATTACCCTGTTTCGCGTTCAACATTTCAATCTTTGTGCAATGGTGGGTGAATGGGATGCCTTGATGGTCATTCGCCAATCGCCAGCTACAGAACTCTATCACTCGCGCTGCTATCGGTGGTACAATCCTCAGCAATTGTGTTCATTTGCTAGTGGTAAAAAAGCATTTAGCACGATTCCTTGGGTCGTCGATCAATTACGCTAGTCGATTGATGATTCAGAATTTGGAAAATAAACCAGGTCTGGTCATGGGACCTTGATCCTTCCCTGCTAACAGTAACGTTTGCCGTAAAACTAGTGCAAGAACAAGTGTTTGCTTTGCGTTAGCCGTAAAATTACCGTCTTTAAGGGTTGACAGACATGCATGTGTGTTATGCCATCAAAGGGTCTCTCGGCATCCGATTCCGACCTGATCATCACCAACTGACTCAACCATAATACAATGGGGCTACAACTCTAAACAACACAGTGCAACTGACCCTCCCCATCCCCAGTCTACTCTACTAATTTACAATTGACATAGCCAAATCACATGACCACTAATTCTGCTTTACCAATAAAGAAAATTGTGTTTTAACTTACCAAACAGGCTACAAATCACCCATGTACAAAATAAGAACGTCATTACACTATGGTACACCACCCTAATCCCCGCCACGACCAACCTTTTTTTGCCTCTCGGTCGATACCAAGGGATTCGCCAGCTTGGAAGGGATGTGTTAAGTCTTCAACTACGGCTTATCTGGTTGTGAAGACAGCTCTTTATCAGCAAAATGCAGCAGTCTCCTGAGTCTCAGAACCATGTCACAATGTTGCGGAAGTGCAGAGCGTCTCTCCAAGTATGCAGGGCTGACCGTCATCCATGACAAGGCATGAAGCTCGGCTGCAACGGACCCGAGAATCACGTTGGACTCCGCCCCGTTATCCCTCACTCCTTGCTTCATGGTGGCCCTATCTCCTCCGTAGGAGTCGATGAGGCTCACTGAGAGGACTGAAGGCCACTCGTCCCTCGAGTTGCTCCTGATGTCTTTCCTCACGGAAGGCACGGCTTTCGAGACGACGAAGCCGGTCGAGAGCGGGATAGCGTAGCCCTTGCTGTGGAGGAGATGAGCTAATGGTGGGGATTCTGCCGTGAGACATGTGGGAAGCTGGAGTGGGGTTGAAGGGAGGAAACGCATGCTGGGTGCTGGAATTAGGAGGTAAGCTGCTGAGGCAGAGCTTGGAGGCTTCACTGGAGTAAAACCTTCTACATATCCTGATCCTGGTGTGCTGCTACTGTTAACACCTTGCGTTGTCCCTCCTACAACGAATCACATATTATCATTATTTGTCAACAGAAATGGCCAGTGAACTCTCTCACATGGCATTCGGTTAGACAAAAAGCTTACCAGAGGAAGATGAATCTGCTTGACAAAGAAGATGCAAAGAATGATCGATGGAGACTGCGACAAAAGTGATGCTCTGGACCCACTGGAGGATCCCCCTAGAGCTATCAACTGATGATGTATGCCCTCCGCCCATAAGCTGCTTTCTCCCTGAAGATTGTCCCAAACTATTCCCTTTCATGAAGCTAGAAGCCTTTGAATATAGCGGGCTGGGGGATGAAGGTAAGGTTCTCTCTTGAATCAAGCTCATATCCTGCTGCTGTTGCTGCTGCAAGGAAGATCCATTGTTGCTTCCAGGCATTCCGTCAGGCATTGAACGTCGGAGTTGCACAGGCCATTTCTTCACCTCTGCTCCCCCAACAGAATAAATGGCCTTCTGCCACTCTGTTTAATCCCATCATAACAGAATGCAAAATGGAAAGAGTGGGATAGTGACTGTTAATCTTCATTAAAGATAAAAAAAAAAGAGGAATGGACATTAAACTAAACAATTAGCAGAGGAGTGTGTCACATCATGCATAGCTAAGCTATTGTGTTAATTAGCACTCATCAATCCACACAAAATATGCTACAGAAATCTCACCCCCCCCCCCCCCCCCCCCCCAAACATAATACAAGCAACAGGAGTCACGTGAAAAGAGAAGCACGACGATTAACATACCTAAGTACTCGAGCTCAAAGAAATTTCCAATTCGAGAAATGATAAAATCTCGAGGCTTCACAGTAAAATCAGGAGAAGAACAGGCCTGCAGTAATTGACACCCTTGTTGCAGAACTTGCGCAAAAAGGCATTGCAAACCTTTTGTATCCTGTCGACTACTAATTCCACCAAAAGGGAATATCTGGGTGTCGAGCAGTTCTCCCCTTGCATCTGTCCATATGCATACTAGCCAACGCCAATCCTCAGTCCACCCATAGCAGCAGTGGAGACTAGGAAGAAGAGCCTTCTGATAGTTAGACCCAAACCCATCTGACTGAGATCCATCATTTTGAGAGCCCGAACTAGCATCCCCACCACCATCATCAGATAACATTTTTGAAGAGTCGGAGGTTGCAGTGTTATGGAAGGAAGGTGAAACAGCATGTTCCAGAGAACCGGGTTCTGAAAGAATGAAGAGTGGTTCAAGCATGTAGCGAGTCCCATCTTGAAGTGAGAAAAAATCCCCATTTCGGTTGGTATCACAGTTCAATCCTCCAACAACCCTTGTTGTCTGCCAAGTGTTGTCCCAGGCTCCAGGTCTCAAGCTGGCATCAATATCAGCAGCCTCTCTAGGAAGTGGAGGGCCTCCAATTCGAGGACCAACACAGTCTTTCCACATTGACGGAATTGAAACTACAGGTGGTGTCATTGCTGAGTGAGACCTGCTAGATACCGATGATGACTGTACATCATAAGGAGATCCTTTAGAAATTCTGCGTGCCTTGTTATAGACGGTGAATGCGGTCTCTTTAAGTATGGTGAGTTCACTAAGGACCGAACCAGTGACCTTAAAGATTGAATCAACTGTCACCACCTGCAATACCAATTTGGGGATACTGAATCCTGGGAGTACTAGAACATTTGATGCTGATGCTTCATCAACTGCCATCAAACAGCTTAATGCTTTTCCTATCTGACTCTGCAATATAGATCTCCTATCTCTATCCAATGGAAGAGCAACTGATCCAAGAGCAACACAAGATTCCACAACAGTTTGTAAAACTGCAATAGGTTCTGGGAATGGACAGACCACATAGATAACCTGGATAGGAAAAACAAATTTAAGTTTTAAGAAATAACATAACAGTAACATGCTACGGTCAAAGAAGCAAACTATCAGGCCTAGTCCTAAAAGGACAGAGCCCCAACATGAGACTACAGCTCATACAAAATTGAGTTGCATCATGCATGATAACTTCAGCTTGAACTTTCAACCAATTGCAGTGAGAAAATATATTAGAATATGTGCAGGAAAAAGTTCTAACCACAATGAAACATTAAAAAGTAAAACAAAGGGCTAGGTTTGAGTTATATCATGCAAACACAACAAAGAACATGACTACAGCAATTATTATGAAATGATGTCACGAGTAGCTAAAACAAGACATCGAAATGGATAACAAAAATTTAACACATAAAACATAAAATATGCTGCAATTACCGAGCAAGGACTGCTGTTTCCTTCTTTTGGGTGTGTTGGTAAGCTTGGGCCAAGTTTCAAAGATTTAATAGCTTTGGAAAGAGACTTCAGATAACTAGTCAAGTCCCAACCATTGGAGAGGGAAAGGAAGTAGTCACTTATCGACCCCACAAGAGATGCATTGCTGCTTTCAATCTTCATCGACTGAGGGCAGTTGAGCAACACAAAGCCAGAAGCCAACCATTTCCCTCTGTCAATTTCCATCTGGTTTCCCAAATTCTGAGCTGAATGTGTCCCTAGCTTGCATGCTTCATAAACTGGACAATAAGAAGCTCATAACAGGTGAATGTCTTGAAAGCATTGTGATTTGTCAAAAGTTACGCAATAAGAAGACTTCCTGAAATGTTCAAGCATTATGATAACACAAGTAAAAGTATTGGAGATCGGAAATGAAACTCCAAAATCTTCTCGTTTAACAAGCTGCTTAACTCGAACCAGGGAAAACAGAAATATAAGAGCAAATGAAACTTCAACTAAAAGATCAAACAGTTTTCTCTTTCAAACTGGGAGCTCAAAGACTTGAAATGGAGCATATATCTATTTATTTTCCTTGGTCAACACACCTCAAACAAGTCCACATCTAACAGTCAAGTATCCAGGGGACGGGGTGGAAATGTTAGGTGGAACCACGAGGAGGAAGAAACTATGAAAAGGAAAGAGCTGCTCACCAGTTCCAAGTTGTTGGAAAAAATCAGCAGCAGCAGATGTAAGGGAATCAATGTCTGGACAGACAACATGATAAGTAATCTGCAATAGTATATGAACAGAATCAATGCTTGGTCATAGAATGTGAAGCAACCTGTGGAAAACTTTAAGAGGTGAACATTATAAACCAGACAAGAACGCTGGACATATGGGGTGTCAACTGTCAAGTACATCCAACAATGTCGATGTTAAGAATCTTACAGGTTTTGGAGAAGCATATGGTTCAAAAGGTGCCTTTTCCCAAAGCTGTAATGAGCTTGCTGAAGCTTTAAGCCAGTCATCCTGGTACCTACCATGTTTAAATCTCTTTACCTTAGCACCAGCAGTGGTCTCAAGTAATACAAAGGTAGCAATGGTAACATATCGGCACATACAGCATCTACCTAAAGGCCATGTCATTTTAACGTAATTGAAATGGAGATTCATCATGCTATACGAGGCAGGAGTGCCATATGACTATAGTTCTATCAGCACTACAGTTGATCACGAAAACATCGATTGATCAATGTTCAACCACAAAAATAACTAGGCCTGGAAAGTTTTTTATCACCTAATCAGTCATACCGTGGTATCGTCTTACAGCAAATTGATAAGAGTTTACAAACCCTATAGTTCATAATCTCATATTTTCTTTATATGAAAGAACCCTAAAAGGTAAAAGTGCTACAGCAATCCACCTACAAACTAGTACCTGTAAGAAAACTAGGAGGGAGGCAACCAGATTAGTCTTGAATAACTGTCTAAACGTGTATTCAGATTGTACTGTACTAATATATTAGGGAGTGCCGGTTCAATTCCAACTATTGCTTTATAAAAGAAAGTTTAATTAGAGTGCACACCCGACGAGTATGGAAGACGAGGGAAGAACATAAAGCATTGGTCTTATCCTGGAGCTTGGATCACTATCATTTTCTTGGTTTGGTCGCCTCTGCATTATCTCATCCAACTTTGCTCCATCTACAGCAGTTGGCACCAGTATCAATAGCACAATTGTTGAGTACTGAATTATGCTGAACAACATAAATGTACAGCACACGAACAAGATTTAAACTACCTCTAAGACCGGATAATCCACCAGCGGATGACTGAGCTGGGCTCATTGGTTCTCCCATGGAGCTGGAAGAATCTCTAGATTCACTTGGAGTAGACTCAATGACAGACCCATCACATATATTTGAACCACCACTGGAGAGACTACGACCTTTGCACCAATCAGCAGCTGACAACGGTCCATCCAAACTCCCAAATGCAGATTTTAAGGCTGTTTTAATTTCAGTATGCAGCAGACTAATAACAGAAGACGCGTGAATCTGCAAAAAAAAAAAAAAAAAAAAAAAAAAAAAGGTATTGCAATTATGCCAAGGAAATGGGAAAGATTGTCTGTTTAGCCACCATCAGAAAGTGCTTACATTTGCAGCTAGTGGATCTACCAACTCTGTGCCAGCAATGTCCAAGGAATGCGAAGCAGCCAAGGTACCTCCACAGCCTGCATGGACCATAGAAGGGCCACAGCAGAAACCACGCCTCCAATGTTCTTGTAATGCAAGCCAGCCATAAGGACCATCACCACAATCAGAATCTAGAGCCAAGTCAACAGCAGAAGTAGCTTGTTGAATAAGTAAGACCATCCCATCAAGAAGTTCCTGTAGTGGATGCCTTTGCCCATAAGAGAGCATTCCTTCCTCACTAAGCGAATGATGGGATAAGGATGGGCTGACTTCAATACTTGGAGAACTGGTAGGTTTTGTCACTTTCGGACCTCCTACAGTGCGCCAAACACCAACAGGTGCGTTGAGGTGGCTATCTAACACTCCCCGGTCAACATCACCAGCTATTCGGACTGGTATTGTTTCTTTCTTTTTCGTTTCATACCTGCTAGAGATATTGTCTGTCATAGCACTTGCATCACCATGTAACTGATTCAAATTTCCTCCACCTGACCTACTCAAATTTATAGGTACTGGATTAGACGACAATGTATGACGTACCCTACACATCAAAGCTTGGAACAAGATGCATTCAACTTCAGTTGCCAGCACAGTCTTCTTAGAAAGAAGAAAACTGTCTAATCCTAGCACACCTTCATTCACCTTCAGCTGCACGGTCTTGGCAGTGGTTGAAGAACTAAAAGTAGATAAAGAAGATTGTGCAAATCGCTCCCCGGCAACAGTGTTGCCTTCAATCTTGGATGACTTTTTATCATGTTGCTCTCTTCCACCTTCCACATGAGTGTAATATTTCTTTGCATCACTCCTTTCAGTACCTGCTTTTGGGGTAGCATGCCTGGTATTCTTCTCATCTGACCCATTGATAGAAGGAGAAAACGGAGGTGTTGCACCATATGTGTAATTGCTTGAATTTGAGTTTGAGCTCTCTACTCTACGAGACTTGGGGCAATATGGACTTCTAAACACTGAAGAAGATACCTCGCTGGCTGCCGTTTCAACTGCTCCATACTCTGGGGCAAATGTCATAAGAGCTTCAGCCTTTATTAAATGATCAAACTCGCCCGTAAAAGAGGGTGGACTGTAGTTTGTTGAGCTTATAGTCATAACACCATGAGTAACATCTTCATTTTTGCTCACACACTCATCCATGGTCATCGAGGGAGTCGGATTAAAGCTCTCAAAGGATGGAAGACCCACAGGCAAAAGCATTTGATCAACATCCATTGACCCTACAGGACTGCTACCAACTTCTCCAATATCTGGAGCTGAAAACATTAGAGCCTCTGACTCTGCAGTTCCAGGGGGCTTCAAAAGGAAAATGGACATCATTAGATGAAAAGGACTTCACAAAAAGTGTCAGAATAGCAAAGGGAAGTCAATCTCAAGATTAGCCAAAACCATTTTGTCCTATTTCTTTGGATATACCACTATGTGTTTAGTCGAAAGTGTAAAAGCAGCAAAAGACTGCGAGAAGGAGAAAAGGAATCCTTGGGCTTCAAGGACTTTTCTATCCATTATGAAGTGTGGCACATTAAGCATTGACTAACACTAAGTACATGAACCAAATTGACACAGACAATGGAACATATGTCTAGCCCCTCAGATTTAACAGGGGGGAAAGGGAAATGATAAGCGATAGCTGAAATATTATGAACCCCAATACCCGGATGTCACGCAATCTCTCAACAAACAATATGACCAAGGAAACAGGAAACACAGAAGACAACTTTGCTCTAGCCCAGGTGGAGAAGAGCACGAACATACAGAAGAAACGTCAAACCATTCGACCTTCAGTTACATCAAATCAACAAAGGAACATGAAAGGTAGCATGAGAATGCAACACCAGTGACTTTCTTTTCCTTTAAAAACATTATTATTTTTTCCTTTCCAGCACTTTCCGCAAATCAACATCATGCACTTTATCCTATAAGTAACATCATGCATTTATACCCATAAGTAAAACATAAAATAACATGGACGTCTGTGCATGTTCAGCAAAAAGTGCAAAGTGGGAGAATTACCTCTCCAAAAGGTAAAGCATCATTCTCAAAGAAGTCACCAAAGTCACCAAACTCAGAGAGAAGAGCTTGGATATCCATGCCCACGCCTCTCTCGTCATCCCAGTCCCAATGAGATCCATTCTGCTCATTTTCAACTCCAGTAATAACTGATGTGTTAACCTCAAGGGAGCCAAAGTCAGACTTGCTACCTACTTGACCAAATGACTCCATTCCTGCCCGAGGGCGCTTAGAACCCTGCACATGAAGTCAACTCCCATTCTGAGCCATCCAAGTGCTTGGGAAAAAATAAAGAAATGGGTAAAAGATAAGTATTCCCAACAGGCCTGCTTGCCAAAAGCAATAAAGTGTTTCAGGTTTAAATATTTTGCGTGATAAGCTAACACAGAGCTCTGGTAGAAATCAGAACACAATTAGAACCTCTCATGAAAGCAAAACAAACCTCATACATTAAAGTTGTCTAGGCGAACATAAGAATGACTTCAGCGGGAGAGCAAGTAATCAGTTGTGTCTAGAAGCAATTAAACAATATAACTAAATGTTCATAAATAAATAAATAAATAAATACACAAAATTAACCAGATCATTAGAAACCAATTGAGTTGGTGGAAAAAAGTGCCCCTTTGCTTTAGCCATCTTATCCAGATAGAGGCAGGTATATTTAATGCATTCTCAGCAGCCTAAGTCAAAACTTCTGTTCTTTTTGTCAGACACTTCACTAATTTAGTAGTTGAACTTAGTTGAGATAGCATGTAGATGGAAGTCTATTCTATGCACTTTTAATTCCTCAATTCCGTAAGCAGATAAACCATAGGACTTTTACAAGTTCCCAGGAATGAGGTAGCAACAGAATGCATTACAGCAGAGGACATTTTGTACAACATAGCTTTACCAGTTTCTGCCGGTCATTCTCCAGCTGATCATTAGAAGACAAACCGGATCGCCTGCATGACAAAGAATCTGCATCTGCATCGAGATCCCCACCTTCTGCGGCCATATTATAATCACTATCACTGGAACTGCTGCTAAGTGAGCTGATGCTGCTATTGTTACTGTTGCTACTACTATTGTAGCCATGATGTGTAAGTGTTCCACCAGAGTCGAGCCAACAACTGTCTGCGCTGTCTATATTACCCCCACTGGTAGCAAAAGTAAGAAAGAGAATTCAAGTCTCATTCTCAGAAAAATAACAGTAACATGAGAAAAAGTTGCTTTGTAGTTAAAAATGATATTCCTAACATTCTTAGAGACAAGAAAAGAAGTCTATCATGGTAAATAGATGCAGGAACATCTTTGTGCTTGTGTAGAGGAGGAAAAATGAGTACGAAGAAAGCATGAACTAACCTATGCATAAAGAAAGCTGCACCGGACATTGATGGCCCTGTCCAGTTTTGTAACCAAAATCTGCAATAAATGGTTGTGAATCATGATTAGGTTAACCCTTCTAAAAACAAAATACAAAATCAAACAACAAAATCCTACCCTAAGGCTCCAGAAACTTAATTACTGGCCACTAAAAACTGCATCTATAGAAAAAGCTCCCTTACTCTGCTCTGAAATGAACTGTAACAAGAACCTGCCCACCATCATACAACAGTGATTACACCATGAGAGCAAAGTTATCATTACCAAGACTACAGCTCAGCTTGATTCAATTCCCCAGTTGGTACCTTCACTTGGTATAATAACCAACCTCCAATATATACCTTTAAATTTTAAATTGACATTGACTCCGCCTTACTTTATACTTTCCCTTCTACTATTTGCTCATATTTACAATTTCTGCAATAGGTGTCCCACTTGTTGAATCAGACGGAGCCTATGGCTTTGTAAGTTGAAAACCACATAAGTTCAAGATAATCAAGCTTAGCGGACGACACGAGTGTATTCATGAGGACATGAGTACAATTAAGATGAATTCTGTTTCTCCCATTTTCTTCGTTAGTTGATAGTTGTTGATGAACTACAAAATAAGAACTCCTAAAACTAGGAAAGCCTTGCTAAATATTAAAAGTAAAATTCATAGCTTACTTTAGAAGAAAATATAGCTACTTATTACCACTATGCCATCCAAACCAATCCAAATAATGAAACAGAGACAAAGATCTAGACAATATACCTTCTGAGAGAAGACCGAGCAAATGAGGTGTGTAAGAGAGGGACAGCAACAGCGTCGACCGGATAGATGAATATCTTCTCGTTTGCTGAGAGGTAGTCTTGCAAACCACTGTGATCACCTCGTGCTGTGGCCGGAGATTCCATGACATGATTTTTCTGTAGACTGCTACCTGCACCTAACTTTGTTTGCAATGCCTTACCACTCTCAGATCTTGGGCAACCAAGTGTAACTTCCACGCACGAATGCTGCCCCCTCAACTGGAATGCAGGCCCTTGTGAAACATCCTTCAATGAACCAATAATACCATCCAGCATCCTAGAGTTGCCAGAACTATTAAGAGAGAGCGCAATACAAGCAAATAGGTCATTGCTAATCAAACAATAACTAATGGTGCAAAATGCACATAAGTCCATCCAAAGAACACAAAGATACAGTATGCAGTACATATAAGCTACCTTGCATAAACTTGCTTGACGAGATCATTTGGGCAACATCCTGTTACCCAGCCACGCATTCCATGAGGAGAAACGATAACTGCAAGAAACAAACAATGTATAAAACAAAAAGGACAGCAACAAACAAACTACAAATTTAGTTTGGGCCAAGGAAAGAATGGTGCTGGACTCCTATGGTTGAAACAGTAACACATCAAGCAAGCAGATAATTCAATATGAAATAACAATGCCAAAAACTAACTGCCTCAATCTACCAACAAAACCAGCAACCAGGTTGAACAGGAGGTAGGAGTGAATGAAGCTGGTTATACAATACCAGTCCATGTCTTAGAGAAGGTAACAATACCGAATAACTGAATTGGAGGGTATTATAATTGGTATTTCTATAGTTCGGTAGCTTTAAACATCCACAAGCATCTAGTTGATCTCAAGATCAGACCCTGCTATAGCATACTGCCTCTAGATAATGTTTACCAAATTTCATTTTTGAACAAAGCAAGCTACTAAACTTCATTTCAAACAAAGATAATCTAAGCACAATGATATGCTAATGCTAATGAGAGGAAAGAAAAAATCTTCCTTAGAAATATATTATTGCTTCACTAAAAGAGATCAACATGCAATATACTGATCCTCTTATTGCGGACCCGAAAAGAATGGAAAGGTAAGCAATAAAACGTTTATAAATTATTTTCTCTCAACCAAACATGGCCGAGAAAGAGAATCAGATTTCTAACACACGCCTCATAATTAAGACTTGCTTCCACCGACACACGATTCTGGCAACACCTGTGCAGACTGAAGTATGCATGCTAGCATGGAATTGGAGACCCCCATTAATCAGAGATGTACAGACCTGGAAGTTTATTGCCAGAATCTTTAGATGAGTGCTTCAAGATCCTATCAATGTCACTTGCTGAAAGCATGCGAATGTGCCTAAAATATACAACAAAATGAAAAATAAAAATGGTGCTGAATCCAAACTGCAAAGCAAAAGCAGCAAGTAAGAAAGGGCAAGTAAAAGAAACATGATGTGAATTTCACCAACTTGGCAGTTATTATAGCATGAACAAAAATTGCTTCATCGGTGGCCGCAAAGATGAATTCCACAGTAGGTTGTCCTCTCCTGAAGAAGCAGCAAAAGAAATATATCAGCTCCAGGAGAAATTTTAAATTGTATAAATAAGTAAACCGGTAACAAAAGTCGGAAATGAACAACAGTCATTACTCGCAGATGTAAACTAAATGATGGAGAAGGGAGGTCCAGTGGGAACAGTTATAGTTGCCACAAGCAGACGCACTGCAGTTATCACTAAACAGAAAAAAGAAAAGTACATTCCATTTGCAAAAGCAACCATAAAACTAGGAATTGATCACTTATAGATTAACAGTGCTAGTCCGATAATGCCCCTGGACACTTTTGGAATGTGGTACCAAAAATTTTCTTCCACTCTTTCAGCATCTTAGTTAAATGTTTCTAAAAAGCAAATGGAATTGCAGAATGATGCAACTCAATCACATCTAATATGATTCGCACTACACCATGCAATCTAAAGCAATGAAGTCATTTACATCAGCCGATACTTCTCTCAACTGATGCAGACATGGTGCAGATGCCAAAATCAGGATCGAGAGCACTGCATGTCAAAAACCCCATTTCACATTCATTGCGCATGGTATTGAACGGACCTCACTTCAGCTAATGGATCGTTGATCCCGTTAGCTGGAGCTTCTGGATGTGACCCTGGTAACGCAAAAACTTCATAATGAACTCAGATGGGACCATTTTTGGTTGGACACAACCGACAGATATTTGATTCACATGCAGGAAATAACGTCCTTTAAATTTTCTACTAAAATATGAAATATTGACATCGTGAATTATCTGTCCCTTGACTAATAAAGGAAGTTCTAAGCAGGTAGGAGCTGAATCAAAGGCGTACTTGTCACTCACGATTAACTCGAGCCCAGTTTCTGACCAGATGAGCTTCAAAGCGGTTGTTGCATCAACAGAGTTCGATCTAAGATAATTTTGGAGGACATCATCCAAAGCACGTTACCCATTGTTGCACTTACATACTAGAAGAAAAACCCAAATCCCATTATTACTTTGTCCTTCTGTCAGAAATGTGTTCAGGATATTTCCCAAGTCGTAAGAGTTCGAAAAGAAACCAGTTACTGTGGAAGCAAATTTGTTTGATACGGATGTCATGTGACTCATTCATACCCCACCAACTATTAACCTTGGAAAACTTCATTTGGTTTTCAGTTCAGTTAATCATACGAAGCAAATACCAGCAGGAAAGCACTGACACTATGCGGTCACTAGATTCAGAGAAGAGTATCACTCATGCAACTAAAAGACTTTTAGTATTAAACTGAACATATTCAGTAAGATTGACCAACATTTAAAGGGCCTTTTCCTTACCTGTACAGTGCTTCAGTTTGGCCTGGACGATGCTTTGAAAACACATCTCCAAATCGCACGTAAGAAAGTCCAAAAAGTGCCCTGAAAAATCCACCCAGAAGCTATTAAGAAACTCGTTACATCTCTAGTTCGAGCTTTCCAAAATTCTGAAGGGCAGAAGGCTTACTTTTCTATGCTATTCCTTAAAGACTGAGAAAGAGCAGCAGCAACCTCTTCAGAATCCCCAGGGGCTACCCAGATTCCAGATGCAACAACTTCAAGAAAGAAAAAAGAAAGATGATTTACAGGATACAAACTTATTATCCAGCAATGGTGTCATAAAAGAGGGCCATAGGGCTGTATAAATACATTTGAGCTTAAGTTCAAAAAGCCATGCATTGTAAGAAAAGTCTACATATACTAACTTTTAAGTCAAGATGATGCTGTAAAAGATGTAGGTATGAGAATCTTTTGATGGAAACACTACCGAGTGTAAGCACTCGAGACTGCAATATTCTCTCCCAAAGACAAAGTTTGGACCAACCATTGTTCGATCTACTAGAAGATGTTTTGAACGTTGATAAACATTCTTTAGTATCCATGAGTCTTAAACATCGATAGTTTTGTCGATAAGGATGGACATATTTACCTCTTCAAAGAGAAAGATTAAATGGCATACTTTGAAGGAAAATTACATAAAGTTACCTCTTAGTTTAAAAACTGCTGACTGAGCTCTCTCGGCAACAGAAGAATGGCGCCCAGGAAGAAAAAGCCAAAGCTTGATTTTCTCATCTATTAACAAACGTTGACAAATATCGGTCAGAGAGATCTGAATCGATAAATTATGACATAGCAAGTACATAGCTACCAGTTTTTCTTACCAGGATTATGTAAACCTTGAGATGGATCCCAAGGTCCAACAAAAGAATTAGTCCATGTACTGAGAAATCCCTCCTTCTGCAGCTGCAAATGGGATGAAAGCACCAGCCGTGTAGCAGCATCTTTTTGATCCATTTTTACACTGTCCAATACACCAGTTATATACAGAAATATGAATCTATATTATACAAACTGTAAGGATATTACATGCAAAGGCATCGCTCTTCCTTTATAGGCAGAAGGGAAATCGCCAGAATGTAACCATTCTAACCTCTTATCAGATACGGAGTTCAACTCAGCTTCATTGGGAAGAAACTGGAACCATGATACATTTTGAAGACCTCCCTGAAAAATTAGTCAAACATTTAGTGCAGAAAAAGTAACATACTTGACCGACGAAACTACTTTTAAGCAGAACCAACAACCAAATACTAAGAAAACCAACAACAGCAGCGATGGTGGCCAATCTAATATCATAATTCAGCAGAAAGGTGGATTCAATAAATCAAGTCACGAGGCGGCAACCTGGACAAGGCAATTTTTGTTACAATGTCCCAACAGCTAATCCTATTTTCTATTCATAATGTTGGTTTCTATTGACCTTCAGAGTTTAAATTAAGAACCTTCCGAGCTTCAAAGTTTAATGAGCTGAACATAAACAGAAACGAAGCCTCGTAATGTAGAGGACTCCAGTCTCTGAAGCAAAACAAAAAAAAATTCACAACCTTGTGTCCTCATCATTCTCATGATTCTCTAAACATTATCCAATGCAGTTGCCTAAAGTGGATTATTAGCCTGAACCGGCCATGATCACAACTATCTAATAATGACAAGTAAGAGAGGAACAGAAACCAAATCATTAAACAAGGTCTGATTCAATGCAGTAGGAGCTGAGCAACAGTTCTCAGAGACATATTTGGAAGTAAAGTCAACGTACGATTCGAAAAACGTTTGTCCACATAATGCCACTGTGGAAATGCTGCAGCCTCTTGATTTCCCCCAGCCACTTTACAGACCGAAGCACGTAAACAATGCCTTGCTCAGCAATTCACTGCACCAGTAGACAATCGTTAGGACGAGATCTCAGATGACAGATAAGGAATCAACATCAACTCACTTCAATCACGAATTCTCTTCATTTGAAAGTTGACTGCCAGTGAAGCTAGAAAAATGAAGGTTTCCAACACTCTTCCAACCAGATTTCCACATTCACGGTCACAGCAAAAGCAAATGGCAGAATCTCGATATCCTATAATAATTATAGCCACACTAGGGGCCCTAAATTTTCATTAACACAGCTCAGCCAGACGAAATTGCTACTCTATTTACTGCCAAACCCTAATGGAGCAACGAGAAAATCCTCACCTGCTCTTGCCGCGAGACATGCGTCGGCTGTTCTTCGTCTGCTGCCTACTCCGGCGAACAAACCGGGCAGCCGTCCGGCCTCTCCGCGATCTGTAGGAAACTTGAGGTGCGGCGGTTTCGGCAGCAAAGTTAAGCGAATAAAGATGGGAAGACTTCGAGCTGCGCGGAAGTGAAACGAAGAACCAGAAATCGAGCGCGGAATTGGTAATTCTGAAGAGGACAGAGTTTCAGACTTTTGAGAAGAGGAACTCCGAGATGGTCTTTGGTCCCGGTGGGAAACAGAGGCTTGTCGGGGGCTAGTTACGGCGGCTGATTCTGCGGGTGTAAAGTCTGATCGGACCGTTCAACCGGGAAAACTTCCCGAATCCGGACTTCTATGATCTGTAGTAATTAAGGGTAATTATCCAAACTGGTCATATAACTTTGGTTACTATGACAAAAATGGCAAGATTTCTTTTGTTTTTCCAAATCTGTGATGTAATTTCGAAAAACTTGCGACAAATCAATCATTCTAGTCGATCGGTATTCAAAATTCTGTCAAATTTTACTCTTCTAGCTTATAAAATTGTAAATCGATAGGAGGTTACAAGAATTACAGCAAAAATAGAAATTAGACGCCACCTATGCCAATCGACCGAAGTCAGAGGCAATTCACACCTCGTTCTGAAAGGAAAGTTGGTCATCTTAAGAATTTTTGGATTTCCTTGATAATTATCCTAAATAGCTACTCAATTTTGGCTGTTGTATCGAAAAAGATCAAAGAGTTTCAACTTTTTTCTCCAAAATGATCATTAACTTTGAACTTATTGTAAAATAATTGGGACCTGTTAGAGATAGTATTAGCACCATGCTAACCAACCTCGTCGCCGTCCATTACTTTTAAGTTAAATTAGACGGTGAGAAACAACGAGTGACTTCTTTGAAATCTGTCCACAACTACATTGCTATGTAGATGGGGCAGTGGTAGGAGGCTCTTATGGTGCAGGGGGATTAGTGGTGAAGGATGTAATGAGAAACATTGTATATGTCAAGGGATTTTATTATGTAGGGCTGCAAAATCCTTTCTATATTGAGTTGGTGGCGTTTAGGGACGCAATTCAGTGGTTCCTCTGAAGGGTCTAATTGAAGTAGCTTTCCATAGAGATACACGGGCGTTATCGACAAAATTCAAGGATTGGATTCGTAGGATAGTGGGGTGGAAGGATTCTGGTGGAAATTGCAAGTCTTTGTCAGCAATATCATACCTTCGGCATTTCTTTAGTTGGCAAGTTTAATAACGGGGTGGCCCATGTTGTGGCTAGAAAGTCACTTTCTTTGTTACTTGTGAATGTAGATAGTTTTGATTTTTGAAAATGATCTTTATTTGAGTTGTAAACCATGGTATCTTTCTTTCCTTGGTAATACAAGTGAGCTATTGACAAAAAAAATCCAATACACTATAATCAATTATCAGATCCAACAAGCAAACAAACAATTTCTAAAATCCAACACAAATCCAAAATAACAAAACTGAACATTCAATCCAAAAATCCCAAAATTTACTCAAATCCTTCATTTGTGAGAATTTCATAAGCAAACAACCCCTTTTCTAAATCAACCTTCCGAGAATTTGAAATGCTAATCCTTCTGTAACTTGTGTCTCTCAAAATTCTCAAATTAAAATTACTTAAATTTATTCTTGTGCATCTAATAAATCATATTTTCTTAATGGAAGCTTGGTAGATTTCATTTAATTAATCATCAAAGACAGACTAGATTGTATCATCCTCCAAAATTGGATACAAGGAGAGTGACGGTAGTTAGCCCACACATAACAATGATCCCACAACACAGAATGATAGGGGGGAAAGGGATACATAATTTCCTTTTCTCGGGATAAAATTTCAATGAAGCCTAGTGCCAAAAAAAGGGAAATTAAATTCCTCCATCTAATTGATAAGCATACAAAAAACACCCAGTTCTAGCTTATCCTCCTCCTTCTACGATTTCAGAATTAAACCTTGACAATTCGAATCAACAATGATGGAGCTCATGGATAATCTATCGCATCGCATAATCATATGAAAATGGCTCTGGCCTCCGCCTCAATTACTCTGCAAAATCCCTTTTTCATTTCTCACCACTGCTACGCGAAAATCCTTTCTAGTCACGAATAACACATTCCAACCAATCCCTTTGGCTTGAGAAGACTGGCATAAGATTTGATATTGAACACACCGGCTGAAGGTGACTCCCAACTCGGAGCGTTGGGTTTGGGTTCAGGACATGCAATGACAGAGTCTAAGCTTTAACATAGTCTGCAACCAAGTTAGAGCTTTTGAGATGATCTCATGTTACTCCATTTTCTCGTTGTAAGCAAATGATTGCATCTCTCCTTCCATATGAACCATACGATGGCACAAAATGTGAGGTTTCTCTGTAGGGCACGATTCTAAGATCTTATCCTCTCTTGGCTCAAAGAGATCAACATCCATGCTAGGGTGCCATAATCTCCTAGTCCACTCGCACTCCCTCAGGCAATGCATCTCTATCTCCGACAAGTTACGGGAAACAGACAATTTGGGCTAGTTTTATCTTAGTGGCTTTCCAGATTAACACCAACATGTAAGATTTCTCAACATAGTTTCCATAATAGAAACTATACCTTAGGCTGGATACGGAGTGACCATAGCTGCATCCAGAAACCGCTATTAGGAGGATTGTTACTATGCCTTTTGTTAATCACTTCATCTAGGATATTCCATATTATCTAGTGGGCAGTTTTATAAGAGCAAATCCCATTATCAATATGAATTCAGACCCTTTCGTCCTCCCGTAAGGGATTTTGAAGAGGGATCTTCGAGATGGCTATTGTGGGGTCGTTTGCTTCATGGATTTTAAAATTAGGCTTTTGTCTATATTGTTGGATTTAAAAACCTAAAGATTTATTAGGGATTTGTGGCATATGGGATTTGAATAAATCTTTTGTTTGTTGAGATGTTTTGGTATGGGATCTAAGGGTTTTAGATTTATAACTTAAGAAACTAATTTACCTTATTATCCTTTTATATTAAGACTTACTTAAATTAACATAGTACAATGTATTAATAATAAAAATATACATACATTTTTCTAACTAAATTAATAATTACTCACTCAATAACTATTGGTTGACATCTCTTTAAACAATAATTACTATGTAAATCTCATCAAATTAGGGGGGGGACACTTTGGTCAAGTCATGTCAGTACCGATTGAGATAACTTTGTGTCAATTTAGTCATAATATAACATATGTTTAGGAGAGTGATGCAATATTATGAAATTATATATAAATTCTTACGATGTAACATGTAAATCAAATTCTACGTTGCATGATTACGTGATTGTCCAGCGATACAACCTTGATGTGCTGCATTACGAGGGCAAAAAGGTGCTTTGTAATTGTAGGGAAACAAAATTGACAGTAGGAAAATATAATACAAAGAGGACAAACTTGGAATAATAAATCTTTGTCAATGATAAAATCAACCTTAGCTTCAGGAACCATATTTGTAGGCGGGGGACAACTCTCTAGCAAAAATCATTTGCCAATGCAGCTTTTGTAGCCATAAGACTCCTCCAAACATAGTTTGCATTGGACCCCACATTGGTTTGAAGGATGTCAGTGTCATGAAAATACTTTGCCTTGAGGGGTTCTTGCCATAATATAAGAGGTTCAAGATAAGAAGTTCTAATTTTTCATGCCCAACATTGCCAAGTTAACAGTATGAAGATCATTGAAGCTCATTCCTCCTTCATTTTTACCGTTGTTATCACACATTGTGTCTCATGTAATCCATGGGGCTTTGATTTCTTCCCCCTTTTGACCCCACCGGAACCACATGATATAATTTTGAATTTCCTCCAGGATCCCATAAGGTATCTTAAAAACCATCATAGGATGGATAAGTTGCGATTGAGCAATGAATTGATCATGATCTCTTTACCGACATCAGAGAGTGTTTATCCTCTCCAATCTTTTAAAATTTTCTAACTCTTTCCTCCATTTCAACAAAATCGTCAGATTAGACTTACCAACAAGGGTGTGTATACCAAAGTATTTTTTGTGTTTGTCAACCTCCACAAGTTCAAGAATTTCGCATATCTCCAACTTTCTACTATTCTTTACATTCAAGATAAAAGATATTTTGGACTTAGAGAGATTAATACATTATCCATATACCTTTTCATAGGTCTTCAAAATAGCTTTCAAGCTATCACAATATTCAAGTATAGCTCTACCAAAAATGATATTGTCATCTTTAATGCATACAAAAGAAGAAGAAGAGCGATAGGGGATCTCCTTGATGGAATCGCTTGAACTCGGCAAACTTTTGCCCGTTAACAAGTAATGAGTACATTATAGAATTTACACACATCATGACCATGTATATCCATATATCCTCGAAGCCCATCTTCCTCATTCCATTTTCAAGAAATTTTTATTCAACCCAATCATAGGCATTGGTCATGTCCACTTTGGCATCAAAGAAGTCACACTTTACTTCGTCTTCTTCTTTATGTATTTAGGAACAAGAACAATAAGGGTATGATGGAACATCAAACTATCATATTT